TTTTTTTTAAAAAAAATTATGTTTCCAAAGGCTCCAGAATGAAGTCAAGAAACGTTGTCTTATTTTGGCCTGTATACTTTAGCAGCATCTTCATGAAGACACAACAGAGTAAAGGCAGTGTTTATGTTCTTTTTTGGAAGGGACTTCTTTGGGAAAATAAAAGGACACTAACTTACTCAGATTACAATCTCATTTTTTTAAAGGGAATAGATAATAAGGCAAGGAACCAGAACAACACTTAGAGTTGATCAGAGAAGTATGTTTATTGCTATTCATCTATTTACAAGAATTTACTGAACTACAGAACAACCAGATAAGCAGTTCAGGATTTGGGGGCAGAGATCGCAGGCTAGAAGCGGAGGGAAATAAAAAGCAGACAAAAACCTCTTTTGGTCCCGGCAATGGTGTAGGGAAAATTGTGAAAAGGGGAGGTGTCCCAACAAAAGGGAAAAGAAAGTTGACAAAAACAATCTTGGAGTCTGTTAGTGGTATAAGAAAAATTGAAGCAGGAAGTTACCCACCAACAAAGAGGAATAAAGTCCTTCTTAACTTTATATTTTCCCATATTGTAGTTTCTAATTATCTGTTTTTTTCCTGGTAAGTATTTTGTCCCACTTCTCTTTTCCTGTTTTCTCCCTTTTCTTTATTTTAACAGATCCACTCCCTTCAAGTTCACCCAGGTTACCAAGTGAATAATTTTTATTCCTCTTTGTTGGTGGGTAACTTCCTGCTTCAATTTTTCTTATACCACTAACAGACTCCAAGATTGTTTTTGTCAACTTTCTTTTCCCTTTTGTTGGGACACCTCCCCTTTTCACAATTTTCCCTACACCATTGCAGGGACCAAAAGAGTTATTTGTCTGCTTTTTATTTCCCTCCGCTTCTACCCCTTCAAAGCCTTGCCCCCTCTTCTTCTTTGAGTTCTTCTATAGCTATCTGCTTCTCTGGATTCAAAATTCTAATTAGGCTTTATTTTACTGATTCATGTATATACTTTAAAATTCCACATAGTTCTTCAAATTCCCAGTTTTCCATGATGTCGAGTCCAAAGTTACAGTTATAATGATATGGTTATTCAGTTCTTATTTCAGAGTTTTGTTCCACCTTAAGTTTGTCTGCTTCAATTGCTATGGAGAAAAATGAAGGTGGCCAACGTAGTCTTTTGTTCTAACTTAATGTCCAGATCCAGAATTGCAGTTAGTTATACAAATCCCACTTCGAGACTCTGGACCACCTTAAATTCAGACTGGAAGAGAAGCTGGGGCTATCTTACTCTTTTGCCGAGCGAAGAAAAGCGAGGAGAAGAAAAAAGCAAAACAAAACAAAAAAAACCCCTTCATATTTTCCAGTTTGGATTCCGTTATTATTCTGTTGTTATTCTTTCCCTTACCGGGTCCGGTCTCTTGTAGCTGCTTGCAAAATATCACTTGAAGACAGCCTTGTGATCTGCGATCATACTTTCCAAAGTTCTGATTTATGGCAGTTAGTTAATTAAAACTTCCTGCACAGTCAAAGTTAGGCCAAAGTTAAGTTAAGATTTATCAATAGGAAAAAGTTCAAACAAAATAAATCTTTCAAAGTATTTGGTTTCTTTTCTTTTTTCAAATCCAAAACCAAGTTTAAAATTTATATTTGAGTGGGTTTGTCATTTCTCTGCTTCCTCCTTTCTGTCCAAAAATTGATTCAAGTAAATAGCTTTTTTTGGGAGGGGGCTGGTGTTTCAACCCTCCATTTTCTCTTTCTTTCTTTCTGTTTGGAAAATCGTGATCTGACCATCAATATTATTTATATTCTCCAGATTTCTTTGCCATTTCCAGGTTTAATTTATGGCTGTGGGTTAGATAAATTATCTTACCAGCCGTTCATCCCTTCTGAACTCTCATGT